CACCTTAGGTGTATGTGGCTGGCGCCTTAGCTGCTTGAGCCACAGGCGCCGAGCCAAAAGTCACATCTTCTATCAGAGGAAGCATATTTGCTACACTGATATTTTAAAAAAACGGTCAAATATTTCAAACTGTATTTTATTGAGTTTAATTAATTTGATTCTAAAAGATGGAGTAGGGTGTTAATTCTAGAAAAAACTGAGCAATTTGGCATAGATGGTAGATATATTAGCTTGTGATGTATGTATAGGTGGCATAAAAGATACAGATAAACCCCATACATTCATGTCAAGGGTTATAGTCACCGATGTTTATTTATTCTTTGTCTTGTTTAAAACTTTCAGTGTGCTTTACCTCCCTCCCAATTTGATTTTAAGATTCTTAAAGACTGCCTCTTATTCTTTTGTGTTTCTTACAATGCTTAAATGTTGGGCCTTGCACATAGTGATGCCCACAGGATCAATGAATATGTTCATGAATTGAATATTTAAGGCTAAGAAATGAAGGGAAGGATATGTTTTATATTTCAGAAATGGCAAGTTCTAATCCTACGTATATGGAGATGGAAGAAGGAGACCTACCAACAAGATTAAAGTTATTAGATGACTCAGTTCCTTTTGACAGTCCTTTGTTGATTGCTTATGCTGATCGGTAGGTTGTCTTATATGCTGTTTATAAGAAATAAAGCACATGCATTTTTTGTGACATAGTCTCAAATTTTATTCATTTGCATTCAGGAAGTTTCATTTTAGTATGCTTGTTTTCATTTCTTAATGTAACCAAGTTATATTATCTTCCTACAGTTGGAGACTAAAATGTCGTGCTTTTAAATGCAGGTTGTATGAGAAGTTTGGGGAATCTGCCCTTCGATCCTTAATAAGGTTTTACCCATCCATTTTGCCATCAGATGTCATGCAACTTTGTCATCATCATCCTGCTCAATTTTTGGCCTATCTAGACAGTCTGGTGAAATCAAGGCCTGAAGATCAGCGGTGAGGAGAGCATATTTGCAGACTTTGGTTTCTTTCGATAGGGCATTGTTTCTCTTTTGTAAACAGGTATAACATTTTTTCTGTTGACTAACATGGAGTTGAGGTACCTACTGTAGAAAATGAGGGTTTGGCAGTCTTGGTGCATTCTGCCACATTGCGGAACACATCACAAATGTGTACTTACCATATTTCTTCCCCCTAACCCTTAATCCCAGGGATTCTCACATAATCAGTGTAAAATTAAACTCGTATTTCAGGGCCTAGGCTAAGACAGATAAGCTGCTTATTATCTCTGCTGGTGAGTAGATTTACTACCACCATTTTATTGATAATAGTCCAGCTTTTTTTGCTTTTTGTGAGTGGATCTCAGTTCCAGCTCTTTTATTTTTCGGTTGATACCCATTTCCTATCTCCTCGTGGCTGTAAACAACTGTTCCCCTTGGTTATTAGACTAGCAACTCCTCCTTTGTTTCTTCCTCTGATCATTTCACCTTTGCCAAAATGGTTTTATTTCCTCTCTCTTTTTTTCTTTTTGTACTTTGGCATTTTCCATATTTTCTTGGGGCTCAGTTACTTGTTTAGAAGGCTGTTAAAATTTCACCAGCATTTCTTTTTTTTTTTTTTTTTTTTGAGACAGAGTCTCACTTTGTTACCTTGGTAGAGTGCTCTGGTGTCATAGCTCACAGCAACCTCAAACTCTTGGTTTCATGCAATCCTCTTGCCTTAGTCTCCTGAATAACTGGGACTATAGGCACCTGACACAATGCCTGGCTAGTTTTTCTATTTTTAG